CCATCCACTCTGCAGGTCTCTCGCACACCCCCATACTGGATGTAACCCCAAACCATGATTTTTCCTCCACCAAACTTGACTGTTTTCTGGGTGAATCTTGGGTCCATGCGGGTTCCAACAGGTCTTCTGCAGTATTTGCGGCGATTGGGATGCAGTTCAATGGATGATTCATCAGAAAAATCAACCTTCTGCCACTTTTCCACTGTCCATCCTTTCTGCAAGCTGTGGGCCTTGGCAAATGCAGCACGATTCTTTTGTTGTCTTCTGTTTAATGCTGGTTTGTGAGCAGTAATTCGGCCATGGAGACCATTGCGTGAGAGAATTCGACAAACTGTTCTGGTAGATACAGGGGTTTCTGGTGACCAGTTCTGATGTAGCTCTGCTGCAGTTGAAAAAGGGCTGGCCCTGGACTGCCGAAGCAACAAACGGTCCTCTCTAACAGTTGTGTTACGGGGTCTGCCTGACCTGGGCTTGTCATGAACGTCACCAGTTTCTTCAAATCTTTTTTTTATCCTCTCCACTTGACGTTTGGATACACTGAAGATGTCTGCCACCTCAGCAGCAGACTTGGTCTTCAGGCTCTTGATGATCAGCACTTTGGTCTGTGGTTGGATCTTTGGGATGTTGTCAGCGGTCAGGTTGCACTTCACATGAAGGTCTGGTGTGCTGGGGTTCTTTTTATACACACCTGGGGATGTGTTAATTACAGTATTTGTCACAGGTGGAGCTCTAATCTGTGATTGGTTGAATTGTTTAAAGACACGACAAGACTTTTGTCCAAGCAAAATCTGACCTTTCTGTCCTAATTAAATGATAAAACTCAATGAATGATACACAACTTTATTTTGGTATAATAAGCATAATCTAAAGGCCTTTGCCTTTCATATAAGCTATTTCTGATCCCAAATGATCAACTACAAGTCAGGTTATTATTTGTTGTTCCTACAACTTGGATAAGTGACAAGACTTTTGTCAGGGACTGTAGTTGTTGACTGTGTTGTACTGTTATGTTTTTTTTTTTGTTATGTGTTTTGTTTTGTTTTGTTTTTTTTTGGTTTCAGGTGTGTCACATTGTGGGGATTTTGGCTACAAGGCTATTGTTTTTCCGCAATATGCTCTGTGGATGTCTATATGCACTTTATTCATGTCTTTTTTTGTTTTTGTAAGATTATTTTTTGGGGCTTTTTGATTTTAATGGACAGGACAGATTGAAGTGGGTTGAGAGAGAGAGAGGGGGTTGACTTGCAGCAAGGGGTTGCAAGCCGGAGTCGAGCCTGCGACCGCTGCAGTGAGGTGTCGCCTCTCTACATGGGGCGCCGGCACTATCCACTATGCTACCGACGCCCCGCACTTTATTCATGTCTGTATGCACTTGTTGTTCTGACTATGAAGCAGTGTCCTGTATGTGTACCGAAAGCAAATACCACCGACTCTGGTTGCGTGGCAATTAAAGTTCAGTTCAGTTCAGTTCTGTTCTGTTCTGTTCTACTCTACTCTACTAGTAGCTCAGTCCATAGGAACTTGGATTGGGAACCGGAGGGTCGCCTGTTCTGGTCTGGACCAAATATGGACCGTGGACTGGTAGCTGGAGACAGGCTACGTGACTAAAAACAACAACAACAACACGTGTTTGTGTTTTGTTTTAGATATTCAAGAATATTTTATTGATCGCCTGGCCTCCGATGACCAGAAAAACGGCAATTACAGGTCTCTGATTGAGGGTCAAAATTACCAGAGCTCCGGATGGGTCGGGCAAATTTTACACCACCTTTTAGACGACCATCACATCATATTGAAAGCGATCAATATTGATCGCCTTCAATATGATGTGATGGTCGTCAATTGTTTGAACGATAAGCAGGAAAGATTAGAGTAATAGGGAGATAATAGACTATCATTAAACACTGTGTAATATAACGTTAGCATACGTTACATGTGCTGATGTTAGCAAGCTAGCAGCGTGACATTTAATCATTATGGACAGGCTACGTGACCATAATGATTAAATGTCACGCTGCTAGCTTGCTAACGTCAGCACAAGTAACGTATGCTAACGTTATATTACACAGTGTTTAATGATACAGTCTATTATCTCCCTATTACTCTAATCTTTCCTGCTTATCGTTCAAACAAATGATTAATTTCTAAATTAATATCGGTACTCATTTAAGATACCTTCATCAGCTACCGGAGGCCACTGTCTAACATCATCAATCCAGCTATTCATGATGCTGTCACTGTAGAGAGTCAGTTCACAATGACAGCATAATGAATTGATGACTGACACGTCACCGCAGCAATGGCGGCGCCGCAAGATGGCGACATACACAAGTTGTTTTTTTTTTTCTCAAAGTTTTATTTGCAAATATGAGTTTTAACAAACACATAACAGAAAATCATTGAACACTGAACAGACCAGGGGTACTAGAGTTCATTGCCAGTCTTTTCAAAACTCAAATTAAATGTACAGACTTTATCAGGTTAAGAGTCTTTGCAGCTTTGTTGTTAACACATTCAAGTGTGGTGCCGTACTGCTGGAGTTCAACAATGAAACGACGAAAGCAGGGTTTAGAGCCAGACCATTTTGATTTGTGTATATGACACTTTCCAAGAATAATTAGAAGTTGTATAATATAGGCAGTGTTGTTCTCCATCCTACTGAAAGTAAAATATAGTATCACATCAAACACAGTAAAAATTACAGTAGTATTCATTTTTCCATTTACAAAGTCTTGCATATCATTTCAAAACTTCTTTGAATGGTGACAATGATGAAACAGATGAAATAACGTTTCTTTGTCAACATTACAGAAAGTACAAGAGTAGTCTATGTTTAACTTAAATCTCTCCAAGACCTCCTTAGTGGGATAAATTCGGTGTAACACTTTGTAGGATACTTCTTTGACTTTATTACTAATGCAATATTTATTTAAAACACTACAGGCTTTTTTCCACTGTAAATTGCTCATAATAGACGACCAGAATAGAATTTTGCTGCAGGGGCTGCAGTATAGTTCAGTGCGTTTCTAATGTGTCTGTTACTGCAAGGTTTATCCTGAACATTGATATCTCCAGTAAAAATCTGCCTAGAACTAAATGAGTAGGTTTCTGTTAAGTTACAGTTCTTTAAAAATAGAAGTGAACCGGCAGGAATTGCATTGAAGATAACAGCATATTCTTTAGGTGTGATTGTTATGCTGAATTTCTGAATAAATTCTGAAAATGACATTAACACCCCATTCTTATTTAATAATTGACATACAAGCAAAATTCCATTGTCATACCATGAGCGATAAAACAGGGATTTTCTTTTGTGTAGAATATCCTTGTTATTCCAAATATAGTACCGATGAGGACTGAAGTTGTGCTTATAAACTAATAACCACGCTAAGAGAGCTTGCTTGTGAAAATTAGCTAAACTAACTGGGATTTTATCAATGGAAAAAATGCATTTTAATAAAAAAAATCAATGCCACCAATCGAATTAAATAAATATGATGGGAAAGCATGCCATATACTGTCGGGATTCTTTAGGAATTCAATAAGCCATTTAACTTTAAACATATTATTTAATAAACTAAAGTCCAAGATCTCAAGACCCCTTGTTCCCTACTACCTTTGATTGTTTCTTTTTTGAGATAATGGGTTTTTTTTCTCCAAATGTAGTCATACAGTATCTTATCCAGTTGTTTAATAACGTTTGTTGGGACATTAAGTGATAATGATACATAGACAGATCTGGATATACCTTCTGTTTTTGATAATAAGACCCTTCCAAATAAAGATATATCTCTCATTAACCATGAGTTCAATTTTGATTTTGTTTTTTCAATAATGGGATCAAAATTGGCTTTACTTCGCTGTTCTGCATCACTGCAGATAACAACCCCTAGGTAGGTTACCTTTTCTTTAATTGGAATCCCATGATAGCTTGACAAATTACAATTTTTAATTGGAAATAAGACAGATTTATCCAAGTTCATCTTTAAACCAGAAACATCAGAAAATTCATATATACAAGCCACAGCTTCTGAAATTTGATTCTGGTCTTTCAGAAAAATTGCAGTATCGTCTGCCAGTTGGCATAATTTGAAGTTCTTGCCTACTGCATTTATACCCATGAAGGGTGCTTTTTTTATATGAGTGGCCATTGTTTGGGTTACTAATATAAACAAAAAAAGGAGATACTGGACAACCTGTCTAATACCACGATGAATGTCAAATCGACTTGATGTACCACATTTCAGTTTTACAGAGCTGGAAGAGTTCTTATATAGAGTTTGAATTGCATTACAGAAATATTCTCCAAAGCCAAAAAAAGAGATGGTTTTAAAAATAAACTCGTGTTCAATTGTGTCAAAGGCTTTGTAGAAATCAATAAATAAGATAAAACTTTCATCTGGTATTAAATCACGATAATCTATCATATCCAGTATCAGTCAAATATTATTGCTAATATGTCTTTTTTGTATAAAACCAGATTGCTCTGTATCTATTATTTGATCTAATCCATGTTTTAATCTCCTAGCAAAAATTAAAGCAAATAATTTTGCATCATTGTTCAGCAGACTGATAGGTCTCCAATTTCCTATGTGTAATCTGTCTTTTTTGGTTTGGGAATTAACGTGATTACTCCTTGCCTTAAAGTAGGAGGGAGCTCACCTTTTTGAATGGATTCTTTAAACATGGCTAGTAGGAAAGGAGCAAGTTTCAGATTGAAAGTCTTAAAAAATTCCCCTGTCAAACCGTCATTACCAGGAGATTTGTTTTCTTTAAGGGATTTAATACATTCACTAATTTCAGCCAGTGATATCCCCTCTTCACATGAGACTCTAACATCATCATTTATTTTTCTAGAATCTGCTGAAATATTGTCTAAGAATGGTTCAATATGAGAGGGCGTAAAGGTGGCGGCATACACAAGTGGCTCGCCGAATTCGTCTATAACACCGGAAGTGAACTGTACCATGACCTGGAAGTTCTTTCATTTTAGCTGAAGAACGGAGATTGTCTGCTTATTTTTTCCATGATGTCTGTCTGAAGACTAAAACCATTAAACCAACTCTAATGGCTGGCCTGAAGTGAGCCGTACCGCACACCAAGAGACTGGAAATACATCTGTCGAGCATTTATCGTGTAGTTGATCCAAACACTCAAACGGAACCGTTTCCTGCTCTGAAAGAAGCTTCTCTGTGCCGTTAAACTCTGGGAAGCTAACTTCGCGTTAGCTGCCCACCGAACTGTGACAGTGTCGGACTTATCAAGAAAATCCAAAAACACGAGGTAATGTGAAATTATTAATATTCTAAACTATGGTTATTATAACATTACCTTGTTTTGATTGTCGTCTTTACTTGGCTTTATGTAAGTTAGTTTGCTAACGTTGTTGCAAACGTACAGCAACGTCAAGGCTAGCGATGAGTAGTCACAACAAACCAAGAAGCATATCAGGGGGTTTGCATCGTTATTATGTGCACATTTATGGGACCGCAACAAAGTCTGAGCAATTTAGTGGCAAAATGCAAAACACGGAACAGCAGACAGTTCCTTGTCTTGTTGTGTAACCTCAGCGACAACACTTAAACATATTGCATGTGATGTAAATTTCCAGATAAGAATCGATAGCCTGTTAGCTCACTTCCGTCAGGCATCGAACATTAGCCAGTGGCTTTTTACCTCGCTGAACAGCTGAATATGTTATGAAGAGTGTGTTTGTATGTTGTTTGTTTGGTTTACAGTACAAACGAACTTCTTTCAGTGATATGTATGTGTGGTTGTGTGTATATAT